CAAGCGTCGGTCTCGCAAACATTTTAACTTCAAAAATAACCTCTGTCTGCGGATTTCAGTATGTCTACATACGTCATTGAGAGGTGGTAGTCACTTAAGACGGAACCCAGAATATTCCATTGATACGCAGATTACCGTTTACAGCTGTCAAAATTTTATTCTATGATAGATGTTCATTCTGTGTTCTACAGAATGAATGAACTGTTTTATTCATTTTCATTTAAACTTATGGTTATGCTTGTTAACCGTTTTTATAGTTAAATCCTTTTTTAAAAATTTAAATAATTAGTTTGACACGAGTAAACGTACACGATATATTCATTGACACGAGTAAACGTACACGATATATTCATTGAGCGCAAGTTATGTAAGTTAGTTAGCTTAAAGCAAAATTTATTTAATATATAACATATAAAACAAAATTGAATTTACTGTGTTAAAAGATTAAAAAGAAGGTCTTAAAATTGAAACACGCAAGTTACTAAACTTTTTGACCATTGTGATTATTTGAAGTACATTATATACAGTTTACTCGGGTAGTTTCTCAGGTCAGCTTGACAGCCTTTAGTAAATAAAAATTTTAATAATTTTAAAAGAGATATAGATCAAATTTTTCATAAGTGTAAAAAAAATCAAAAACTTAAATTTTCATATGGAAATATCTTTTATAGATACCAGCTTTCAGCCTTAAGTTTTCAAATATGCATCCAGAGCTCCAGCATTTTTTGGTTTTTAGGAAATTACAAATAGAAACTTATTTTATTTTTTCAATACAGTCACCTTTTATTTTAAAAAAAATTTACTATTTTTATAAAAAACGACGTTTAATTTCTCTATAACGCTTTGTTTCAGTTAACTAATACGCGTGCTGAGCAAAGTTTTCTTTAGCTCAAAAATGTTTTAAAGTTGTGAATCACCATATAAAAACATTTTTTAACTTAAACTCTTTTTGTTGAATTATTACACTCCTACAATAAAATTAAAAATGAACTTTAAAATAGTCTTAGCTTACTTAAAGATTGTGTATAAAGCATTGTTTCGTATACGCCTGGGGAGGCCCCACTTTTTTTTTTTTTTTTTTAGTGGTGAGGATCTAAAACTTTGCATGGTCATAACTTTTAAACGTTAAAAGATTTTAGCATGAAATTTAAAACTTGCAGATAAATTTAAATTTAGTATAAAATAAAAATGTTGAAAATTTTAATAACTCACTGCTCTTACGTTTATGTAATTACCCAGTGAGCACCGGACCAAAATAAGACGTCTTTTGAACGTTCAAAAGACGTCCGAAACGTGCATAAGACGTTTAAAAAACGTCTTTTTTACGTCCGTGCCCACTGGGTACATAGATGTAAATACATTTTTAATTTTGCATTTAAACATCAGGAGCATTTCAAAAGTTTGAATTATTCAAACAATTTTTATGCGAGATTAGATTTAATTTTAAAACTATTAGTCTCAGCGACATATTGTACTGATGATTATATCGAGACAAATACAAATTTTCAGCTGCCAAATTATAAAGTGATTCATCAATTTTGAGGATCTGGGAAGAAAAGAGGGGGTTTGTGTGTATTTATAAGTAGTTCTTTATTATACAAGCTAAAAAAAAGATTTGTGCTCAGCTAATAATGATTGTGAATTTGTTATTTCAGCTAAGCGTGGGAATAATACATAAAACCAGCAACATTATCACCCACGTTTTATACAGAAAACCTTCCGGCTCAATAAAACGATTGATAAATCAAATTGAAAACATAATTAAAAACAAGTCAAGCAAAAATAAAAGCATTTATATTTTAGGTGATTTCAACCTTGATCTTAACATGAGTCTTTTAGATACGAAAATAAACAATTTCTTTAACCTTAATTAAAAAGCCTACATTTCACTAATTAATAAACCCACAAGAATAACTAAAAAAGCGCAAAAGTCATAGATCAAATAGTTACCAACAAATTCAAGCCAAATATAAAAAACAGAAATATTAAAATGCGGCATGATGTATTATTCAGCTGATGTATTCTCTTCTCTCCGTTTAAGCAACTTTTCACTCATCCGTATTTTTAAGCCCGTTCTCCATTCAAAACTTTCCTGCTCCTCCAAAGCGCAAAAAGTTTTGAATGGAAAACGGGCTTTACGGTAACGGGATAGAAAAGGAAAAAAATATTCACGTGAGCATGCGTAATAAAGAATTTTATTTGTCCGAACGAAAACTGCGTATGCTCACGTGATTATTTTTCCGTTTTCCTGTTTCCGTAGAAAAACGGCTTTTTTCTGAAATTTCATTCCAATATTTTGAAGTAAAGAAATGACAAAAAAATGTATATAAATAAAATTAATACTAAAATGAAAAAATTTTGCCTATATTTTATATTTCTTAAGACTTTTTATAATAACCTAGTCAAAAAGAAATATTTGACCAACACTATGTTAAGCTTAACGAAATGATGAGAATATGGCCCCAGATCACTTCCCTTTATTACTTATCTCACAAAAATGTGATAACATCTATGCACAAAAAGTTAAAAAAAAAGCGCAAAAAATAAATGAAATATCCATTGAAAATATTAATACACTTCTATTAGACTTAAACTGGTATGACCTCTTTGATATTAAACGCACAGATTAGGCATATAATAAGTTTCTTGATAAACTTAAACAATTTTACATTACGACTTTTCATGTAGTTACAAAATGTGTAAAAAAGAAAGAAATTATCAAATCCATTGATATTGCCGGAAATTATAAAGTCGTCAAAAAAAAATTAACAACTACATGTTTCTCAAAAAAAAACTTTCAAAAAAAAAAATTAATTACAAAAATTATAAACGTATTTTTGAGATTATTATTAAAAAGTAAAAGAAATATTACTATACGAGCAATTAATAAAGCGTAAAAGTGATCGGAAAAATACTTAATTATTAAAAAATGAAACAGTATTAAGGAAGTACGAAATAAACTGACAAAACTAGTCTTCCTTTCAATTTAAATATTGATCATAAAACTATTACAAATAAATCTTTAATTGCTGAAACACTTAATCAATATTTTGTCAGTGTAGGTTCCACTTTACCCGACGGGCATTTGTTTTTAAAAGTTACGTTCTAAATGTATTTTAAATGTCTTTTAAACGTTTTTTGCGTAAGAATGTTTAAAAGACGTTTAAAAGACATTTAAAATACATTTAGAACGTAACTTTTAAAAACAAATGCCCGTCGGGTAGCGTCAAAAATAGTACTGAACTATACTTTGAACTACTGAAGTAAACTTTGAGTCATATCATACTCCTAATAATCCTAATAAGATGAATAACTATGAAATTACTGAAAAAGAACTCTTAAATGCAGTATATCTTTTGCAACTAAAAAAAAAAAAGGTATTCAATAGTATTAGTAATAATGTAGTAAAAAATACTACATTATTTTTAATAATATTATTAGTAATAATGTAGTACTTTTTACAACATTATTACTAATACTATTAAATAGTATTTTAGTAACAATATTATTAATAGTATTATACTAAAAATATTATTAGTAATAATGTAGTATTCGATAAAATACTTAACAATCCCTCTTTTAAATAATTTTAATCTCTTTTTTAAACTAGGTGTTTATCTGGAGAAACTTAAAGTTGCGAGGGTCATATCCGCGCAACATTAAGTTTATTAACTTTTAATGTCAGTTTGGTAAGCCGATAAACCTCTAAATTTGAGTTTCCACTTATCCGTTTTTCATATGCGTAGTATTCCTTACGCAGACCCACGTGATTATTTTTTTTTTCCTTTCCCGTTCCTGTGATAAAATAGACCACTTTAATATACATACTAGCTACAAATCCAAAAAATTCAAATTTTTTGAAAGGACAAGTAAATTTTCTATTGCCATCAGAGGTCCTAAATAATAAAAAACTTTATTAAATAACGAGATGAAAAATAGTTCTTCCTATTTCCTATTCATACAAAAATTTATAAACAATGTTAATTAACAAACTCTTTTTAAGGTTTTTTTTTAATTACTTTTTTTTTTTTTTAATTTCTGTATTTTTAATATCTATCTTATTAACTTTTTTGTAATTTAACTTAATTTTAGTTTTTAGTTTTGATTATTTTTTATTTTATTTTTATGATTTTCTTTTGATTAGGGATGAGTAACTGATCTTTGCGTACTTGTAAATATTTGTATATATATTTTTTAATGGTACAAAGTGATTGTATGTTTTCCTTTTAATGGTTGTACACGCTTGCTGATAAAAGCACATCGGGGCGTAGCGATAAGGCAAATATTGTTTTCTTTTAGCTCCGGTCATATATATTTTATTTACATAATATGGCATTTTATTCTTTTTTTTAATGACGAAATAGATAAAAAATAAAATGAAACATCATATTTGATACATAAGAAAACCTTGCGGACGCTTATGATCTTTTGCTTTCCGCGTTAAATAACAGCTCACCACGTAAAAATTAATCATAATATTCTGACCTGGCAACCTCAAAAACGAAAAAAAAGTTCTAATTTTTTGGCTATGCTGCTTAGTACTTACAACACAAAACGTTTTCAAACAAATTTAAAACAAGTTCAAAGGTGAAACTAAAATTTATTAAATACTTATTGGTATAAGCCTCTGTAAAAGTTGTTTTGTAAAGGTCATGAACAGTTTAAACAAATAAAAATTAACTTAGAAATCGAGAAGATTAATTATTGTAATTGATAAAAAATGTAACGATAAAAATAAGCAAGTATTAATCAACAACTGAAAAAAATAATCGGTGTAAAACCCATTACTTGTAATAAAGTTAAAATATATTAGTGAATACTTTAAAAGAAAAATAATAAAAGTATCAAAATAGTAAAAAAATATTCAATTTAATAAAATATTAAAAACCGTATTTTCGTTGCTAATATACAAATAATTTTTATGTAAAATTAAAGTATTTTCATTGTAAAAAGTTTATAATAAAATTTTTATTATAAACTTTAGTAAAATTTACGCTTACTTTTTCCGATTACAAAAACTATAAGAGAGCAAATGATAAAAAGCCTCATTTTCAAAAATTTACTTTAAAACAACAAGTCTTATAAGTAATTAGCTTGAAGATCTGTAAGTGAAAATTCAATTATTTTTTGCGTATATTGTGATATGTCAATATAAATGATAATATTTATAAAGCATTGCGCTTTGAATTGTGGGATCGCTATATTAGGGATCGTCTATAAATTACGCAATGCTAAATTTAATTAATAAACAAAACAAAGAAGATCAAAAGCTTTCCCTCGCAGAGTATAAAGCTAAATACAAAGTCAAATAGCGCATAAAGTTTAAGCTATGGCAGTTTTCATTAAAAAATGCCACGTAAAAATGTTCAATATCTCCTACTTTTAATTTTTAATTAAAAACAGCTTTACTCCTATATAACGAGCTGATAGACAACTTATATTAAAGAATAATAGTTGCAATAAGTAAGTAACGCCGTTTACGCACGTTCTAAAAATAAAGTAACAATCGCCAATTTTGTTTTATCTGATTGCGTCAAGCTTTTATACCTTATTCTACCTTATTAAAAAGAAATAAGCTGGCCTGACCCGTAAAATACAAGTCATTTTAAGTCTCATTCATACCGACTACTTTTGTTCTTTATATTTTATTACACAGATACGTAGTTGATTGCGTAAACACTATATTAACTATGGTTTTTACGTAATTAATTACGTATATGTGTAATAAAATAAGAAGAACAAGTATAAAATTATGTTAATAACATAAGTATCGCTAACACGGTGATAATGGCGTGACATTTCTACCGGATTTTTCGAAATTAGTTAAAAACTAATTAAAAATAGGAATAATAAAACTTAGTCGCTCTTATAAATAACCCCTCTTCCTCAATAAGTAAAAAAAAGTTCTTTTAGTAATTATGAATAATCTAGATCTTAAATTAAGTATAGCTTTTACCAATATGATAAAATGCAAAATAAAAGCGTATATTTATTCAAGTGCAGTGGTTATCTCTATCTTTTTAATGATCCAAAACTAGGTTTGCGGTTTTAAAGAAAACACGGACCAACAATGTTTTCGCGAGATTTATATTCTCGAACAACTTTTTATAATGAAATGAATGAAGGCAATTCTATCTGTTTTAAACATTTGTTTTATTACTGGACTTTTTTAGTATCATCTTTATAATGTAAATTGCGTAATTTGATATTTGTATCAAAACATAATTTACTTTTTTTTATATTTCTTTAACAAATACATATTTTTGTTTATTACTTTATTTAAGTTTTAACTTTTTAACACAATAAATATGGAAAAAAGTAAAATTTTATTATTTCTACCTTTAGTACTCACTTTTTTTTGATATTTACAAAATTTGATATATAGAAGGAACTTTTTCTCCAAGACAAAAAATGAATAATTTATGTGACAAGTTTTAAATGAAAAATAACAATTTGTGGATAAAGGTTTTTGGTGCTACTCAACTTTTCCTCCCCCCTACCCCTACCCCGTTTTTATGATTGACTATGATAAAATACAATTTACTGATTCAGAATCGTATTACAGCGTAGGTCTGAAAACTTGAGGAAAGTACTCTAATTAGATGTTAAAGTATAAAAAACCACATTAAGCACGCTAATATTTGCTATCTTTGTCATACTCGATTATGATAAAATTCCTTTACAATAACAATAACTTTAAAAAAGCCTGGTTTCTATGGAAATATAAGTGCAAAACGCATTTTTTATCATCACTTTAATGCATAACACATTTTTGATTGATTTCCGACTCTAACAAATTCAGCCCTTTGATATCATAATTATATCATATTGATCATATACTGTGAAATCAATGATATCATAGCATTTTACGTTTATGTTAATTATAATTTAATTTATATTAATATGATATCAAAATGAAATCACGCAGTTATATCAATTTGAGCACATATTTGATATCATTATTTGAGAAACTTATGATATCAAAAGTTGATATCATCCTGTACACAGAATGAGATGTCATATTTTGAGAAGTTCATTATATCATGATTTTGTCAAAATGAAATCACATTGATGTCACCCCGACCTTAAAATTTGATATCATATTTTGATACTCTCATGAGAAATAAATTGTCTTTTTTATACTCAATTTTTCATTCAAATAATACAACACCGCTGCATATATATAAATTATTACAGCGCCTTCATTTATATATATATATATATATATATATATATATATATATATATATATATATATATATATATATATATATATATATATATATATATATATATATATATATATATATATATATATATATATATATATATATATATATATAATATTACAACACTTTATATATATATATGTATATATATATATATATATATATATATATATATATATTATATATATATATACATATATATATTTATATACATACATATATATATATATATATATATATATATATATATATATATACATGTATATATATATATATATATATATATATTATATATATATATATATATATATATATATATATATATATATATATATGTATACATATATATTTATACATATATATATATATATATATATATATATATATATATATATATATATATATATGTATATATATATATATATATATATATATATATATATATTTATATATATATATTTATATTTATATATATATACTTACAACTTATCTCTATATATGTAACTGATATATATATATATATATATATATATATATATATATATAATATATATATATATATATATATATATATATATATATGTATATATATATATATATATATATATATATATATATATATATATATATATATATATATATATATATATATATATATATATAACTACTTTTCACAATAATTTTATTTATAAGTTTGACTTAGATAAAGTCTATTTAATATATATTATTATTAAATATATATTGTTAATATATATTTGCATTAAGTAATATATATTTGTTATCAATTTTTTTAAACCTGCTTTACAAAAAGGAAAACTAACTTGAAGTTATTATTATTTTAATTTTTATAGTTTTACCATTAACATATCAAGTTGGTAGTGTTACATTTGATGTGTAATTGCAAAGGTTGTTTATTTAGTTCTACCTTGGTGTTTTATCACCTATCATTAGTTTACTTTGTCTACTGTTAAATGGTTTTACTTTAGTAAATTTTAATGATTTAAACTTAACTATGTTTATCATCATAAGCTAACTGAATTTAAAAAAAAGTTGATTTTGTCATAGTTAAGGTAAGGATAACTTTATTTTCTGCGTACTGATTGCAATAACCCTATTTTCAGATAAAGTCTTGAAGCACTTCGTAAATGTAACTAGACCTGCTTTATATGCTTAGTTTGAGCCACTTTCCAATTGTTGTAAGGTTCCAATTCTTTTTTTTCCTACAAATACTATTATGGTTAATGCTCAAACGAGCTATCATCTATATTACGATAAACCAAAACTCATTCATGCTTAGCTTTTTATTTAACAAGTTACATCCTTTTACCGCATCTGTCCCTTCATTTTATGAAAACTTTTATTTATTCAGTTTTTTCCTTGAATATCAAAAAAACTTTATAACTCTTACCCATCTTCATTTTTTTCGTTTTATTACAACTTTCAACTTTTTAAGTCTTCAGTTATATGTTTCCTAGTGCTTTAACTTATTCTCTATTTAAAAGTAACTCGTAACTTAATAGCGGTTGCTTGCAATCTTGTTGGAAATAAATTAGATTTTTAAAATAAACAAAAATATATGCCAGTATTTAACAAATAGTAAATGTAAGCATAAAACTATAATATATTAAGTATTATAATTTTTTTTTCTAGCCCCTATCATATAATTTTATGATAAGTTTTATTATTTTGCCAGAGCCGGGGTCGCTTACTACTGAACAGTTTAAGTACATGATTTCAAAATTAATGTTTGAGCTTGCCGTTAAAAGAAATACCTCTAAAATGCCAATATAAAAAGCAAGATATGACACTTTATCAAAACATTCTTGAAATTTAAAATTACTTGGATGCTTGTGGGTTATATGGATAATAACACTCTTCTTTAATATGTTTATATCTTGTGTGTTTTTATAACTTTAAACCATTAAAAAATATTGTGCCTTAAACAAAGACAAGGTAGTCATCATTCATATAATAAATGCAAATAAGTTCATACGTGCATATAGTTTAAGTAACTTTTATTCTGTCACAACAACGTAACGTATGTTGTTGTCTGAATCAGTATGATGTATGTCATGTTGTTGTAACTAATGTTGTTGTCTGAATCAGTGCAATTAATTCTATTGTAATCATTCATAAAAACAGCGGTGAGGGTGGGGGGTGGCTAGGTTTATGGAATAAAGATTTTTTAGAGAAAGGAATTTTAGAGAAAAAAGTTCTGTACACAAGATTCACATTTTTTTATCTTGCAGTACTCCTAATGTTCAACAAGCAAAATACAATAAGTTGACAGCACAGGCTGTCAGTTAAAAGTATAAATACTTAAAAATTCAAAATATGTATGCAGTAAGTAGCGCAAAGTTTATTTTTAATCTGATATACAGTTTACTTATGCCACAAGTCAGGGAAAACCCTAACCCTAACCACTTACGTCATAAGTAAACTGTATTTCAGATTAAAAATAAACTTTGAGATACAAATTGCATCCTCATTTTGTATTTTTAGGTATTTATACTTTTAATTGACAGCTTTTGCTGTCAACTTGTTGCATTTTGCTTGTTGAGCATCAAGAGTATTACAAGATTAAAAAAAAAAATGATAATCTTGTGTATAGATCTTTTTTCTCCAAAAAAAACTTTTTTCCAAATCACCCCTTTTTTCCTCTCCTTCACACACACACAAACCTGTTTTATGATCAATTATGATAGAATACAGAATCAAATAAAAACATAGGTCTAAAAACTTGAGGAAAATACTCTTATTTGATCTTAAAGTATAAAAAACCACATTAAAATGCTAACATTCGACCATCTTTTTGAAAAACATTTTAACACTGTTTTCCAAAATTAAAAATCTTTTTTTTTTAACTATGCGACTCGGTTTTTACTGTCGTCATACTTTAAACATATTTAAACGCAGAGGCGTAGACAGAATTTTTTGTT